GAGTTTTTAAAGATGTGAGCACAAAAGATCGAAAAACCTCAAAATCTTTTGAGAGTGAGGTTGTATTACCTGCTGTTGGTATAGAGCTACTTGCTTGTAGACTTTTCTGAAACTCATCCATTCGAGTGTTGAATAAGGTCGATATGTCTTCAAGTGACTTCTGTAGTGTCTCCATTTTAGTGACAGTGTAAGGACAGGTTATGAACACACTGTGAGAATAATTTAGTGACAAAATTCAGTTGCAGGTTTGTAAATAGTTATAAGGAAATATGCTGGTAGGTAAAAGACTAATTTAGCACATCAGTCACACCAAACACTGGATAAATGTATATATTTTTAATTAAATTACGCAGCTTGTTATTTTAACGTATAGTGAGCACACTCCTACCCGCAAAAAACTGCTATTATTTAAATGTTTAAAAATTGCTAATACAAAATAAAATTATTGTGGCTATATATTCATATTTTCGAGGGTGACACTGAAAGTTCTTAGGAAATCAAAAACTGAACAAACTAGCAAGTTATTAGTTTTATCATATCTTTTCAACATAGTGTCCATTTACATCAATACATCGCTGCATCCGATGGAACCACTGAGAAAAGCACTTAGCCCACTCGTCTTTACGGGTCTCTACGACGGCATTTTGAAACGCAGCCACTGCTTCCTCGGAGTCCATAAAACGTTTTCCTTTAAGTTTTTTTTTTCATTTTCGGAAATAAATAAAAATCGCAAGGTGCGGGACTGAAAAGACGGGTGATCAAGTAATTCCACGTCTGACGTCGCCAAGTAGTCGATCGTTTGCTTGGCGGTGTGCGAAGAAGCGTTGTCGTGGTGAAGGAGGATCCTACTGAAAGGTCGTTTCTCCCGAACTTTTTCCAAGACAAGTGGCAAACAATTGTTAGTGTACCACTCTGCAGTAACTGTTTTTGATCCTCTAAAACTATTGTTTCGACTTTTTTCCCACGCTTCGACCTCTCTTCACTTTAGTTGGCAACTCCTCGGAAGGAAACACCCAGCCAGCAGACTGTCTCTTAGTTTCAGGATCATAACAATAAGTCCAACTTTCGTCACCCGTAAGTATGTCGAACACAGCATTTGAGTAACTTTCGTTAAATCCTTGATCCATTTCACGACACCAATCAACACAACGGAGTTTTTGAACCTCTGTCAAATTATGAGATATCCACCGGGCACAAAGCTTCCTGATCGCTAAATGTTCATGGAGGATTTTGTGTACTTGACTAATACCGATACCTAAGCTTGTCCGAATCTGCTGATAAGTCACTGTTTTGTCAGTCTCTGTCATACGGCGCACAACACTGATATTATCTTCGGTCGTACAAAAATTTCTGGCGTTGAATTCATGCTGACGTGACACAGACAATTTTCAATTTGCAAAAAAACAAATGATAAATTAATAATATATATACAAAATAATATTGGCAAAGAGTTCCATTTTTCAATTCAATTTGAACTTTTTTTTTTATTATACCGTTTACAAGTAGCCAGTTCTAAAAACTTTCAGTGTCGCCCCCGTATAATGGCATAGAACTCGGCGCAACCCTTTTATAACTGTTGTACTGTGACGCGACGAAAGCCTCGTTTAACAGATTGTTATCTTGCAACCGAACTATGTAACGTGGATAGAATAGTGTTAGATGTTTTTAGGAGCACTGACGACATCGGAGCGCGGTGGCTTAGTAATCATTTGCGGCGCTGAGGGCCGCGGGTTCGAATCCCGCACGAAACAAGTATTTGTATGTTGATTAAAACTACTTACACGGTTTTTATCGCGTTTAATTTATTTTGTTTTTAATACCCGTAGTTTCAGGTGCTTTCCAGCATCCATGACCATGAGCCATCACCTGTTGTGTTCGCGTAAATATAAGAAATCTAAGTATTTTTATGGCCTACAAATAATTGTTTCGTGTCTGAATGTTTCTTCTTGTGAAATTTATGTAGGTATGTAAACTGCCTCCACGATACAGAAGAAAATGCTAGTATGGTGGTAACGTTTTTTAAAAAAACAACAGTAAAAAGTAACAGTTCAGGCGAGGATCAACAAACGATCGGCAGGGTTGTGGTGTTGATAAGCGCGCGGCAATTAACGGTGGCGGCGCGCGCCTGCCGTTATCGATCCCAGCGCTGCCGTTGCCGAGCGACCTTGAACCTTATGTCGACCAGCTCCTTGCACGCCGGAGGATGCACCTTCTCCTACTGGCCGATCAACATCTTTCTTCGAAGTCTGCTGTCATTAACTTTCAAGCTTTAAAGTTTTTAGTTTTAATGTTTAAACATTTTTTGTCATTGTTTTAGCGATAGTTATTATTTGAAACAATTTTTTATGAAATAATAAAACTCAAAAGAGTCCAATTTGTACACAATACTTTAATAATTATTTCGTTTAAAAAAAAGGTTATGCATAATTTGCTATTAGAAAAAAATGGAAATACTTGAGGCTTAAGTGTATATGATTTTCGTTATGTTACTAGGTACATGGTTTTTATTATTCCGCATTTTCGGCGATGAAAGTAAATGTTTTTATGAAAATGCAAATTTCCTTAAAGCGGAGAAACCTAGGTTAGACATATTTCTATTTATTTGAACTATTGAACCTCCCATAACTACAGGATCATGTTATCGCTTGGTTTCATTTATTTCTCGTATCGTATTAATTATCATCGTTAAACTTGATACAAGATTTTTTTTCAACATTCTCTCGCTGATAAGATAATGTTTCCTGTAACCTTTGTCGCTAGAGATACGTGGTAGAGCCACTCTGCAGCGTAATGTCACTCCGGCACGTTTCAGTCAGGTCCGAAGAAGGACAAATCCACACTGAATACCAGCGTAAATATCAGCATAGTCAGCTGTACTTCGTGTGGTGAATGACCAGAACCATAAGCAGTTTTAACCGACTTACAAAAATGATTAGGTTCTCAATTCTGTTCTATGTACTTTTTCTGTATTTATATTAGGTACTCGACTTCTTCGTCAATTGTGAACATATTTTAATGATCCTTTTTTCATTGATTAAATTATACTTCAGGAGTGGTCCCATATAAACACTACTTATTACTTGAAGAAAAATCCACTTATAACGGTGGAAAAATCATTAATAATTTTTTAAATTATATAGCAATAATTAAATTTTATGAGCAGAAAAATCTGTGGTTACTATAATTTTGCAAAAGGAAGGATTTGTTAAAACTGTATACAAAGAGGACACGCGTGTAGTTTAAGTATGTTACCTAATAAAGAGTGCATTACGCTAGTGTATCGCTTCCATTGATCGGCACAACATCCTCGGCGCAGCGGTACCGTGGTGCGAGTAGAGTCGTGACTGTGCGCTTATCGGAGGCTTACCCGAAGTACGGTACGGGTACCGTTCGCCGCGCGGCCTTGAGCGCGGTTCCGCATCTGGCGAACCGAGCGCAACAATAATTGCAGCCCAGATAGCGGTACGGATGCGCGGCAAAGTTGGCTCTCGCGCAGCCGGTCTGCCTGCGGACCGTTGCTGACTTAGAGCGGAGCATAGATGTCGTTGTCGTTCAATTTTCCAATAATGATTGCGCCAGGTCAGGCCTGAGCTTCCAAATATTAACGAGTATTGTATGAAAAAATCACATATACCAATACCAGCATGTATCGTTTCGTCTTTCAATTTATAATATTTCCACGGTAATATATTTTCTATCTACTCATATGTACAGAACTTAATTTGTTCTGAAAATATATTCCTTCTGCCTTGTTTAAAATCTTAAACATTATTGTGAAAATGTGAAAGTAAAATAGGCCTATTCTTAATTCTTACATAATATTATTTTTAACTCTCCCTTTCTCTTTATCTATATACCTTAAATTTTTACTTTAATTTAAAACAGGTGCATGTTTGTTTTATTTTATCTGACGTCTCTGTGTGTGTGCGTGTGTATTTTTGTTATTATGTTAAAAATTTAACACCAATATACGTAATTGCATTTTCTTCGTTGAAATATACCAATATGTGATAATAAGACAACATACAACATTGTTTTTATTATAGGGGATAACTTCCGATTAGGCTTACATTTTTATCTCAGTCAACCACGGCTCTATACTGGAAAAACGAGTTATTAGAAGACTTCGCGACCACCTGGAGTACGAATGTCAAGGCTGCACGTTTGGAATCGCTCCAGTCCGTCGGTTGCAAGCGCAAAATACCGCTCTATGTTTTTCATAATTAGTGACACAGCGCTTGAAGCACTTCTCTGATTCACAACAAATAGTTTGTACACAAGAGGTGTAACACAACTAGAGCTTCGATTAGTTCCACTGCAAAGTTAGCGTAGTGATTCAAGATTAGCACTGTCAACTGAAATATTTACACGTCGCGCCCTATTGCTATATTCTAAGGTGGAAAATTCAATGTCAATTAGAATGTTAGCGAGTGTCGCGACTCGCATGTGTGTCGCGCGCTACAAACACAAGCACGTGCGCGGCGAGCGACCGCGTGACGTCAAAGCCCGCCCCTCAGGTACGACAAGGATGGCACTAGTCGCGGAGCGGCAACAGCGCAAGCCGTTTTGTTTTTATATGTAAAGCCAGCGATAGGTCTAGTTTATCTTCCGAATGCGAATGCAATTAGAAATATTATAGCAGTTGCTCTTGTCAGCAGTTCCTAAAAAATTATCGTTGTCTCGCTCCGCTATCTTGATGTTTTGATTGTCATCTCAACCTTCGTTTTCCGGCGCGGTTAGGAGATACGAAACGATACACCAGTTTTCGCAGTTGGAATGCTAATATATAAAACTGTTCGGAGACTAGGTAACTGCCGTGACAGATGTTAATGAAGTTTTTGACATAACAAATGAAATGACCGCCAATATCAAGGGGAACGCAAACGATGTATTTATATTAACTTTGTTATACGCACGTTACCATTAGCCAAGTAGGAATCCGCAAGCAATACTGTTGACGCACTGACGTTAAAGTTGATTGATCTTTATTTTATTTGCAGAAGGCGACCAGGGTTCATGGGAGAGCGGACTCTCGTATGAATGCCGTTCCTTGCTCTTCAAAGCTCTCCATAACCTCATCGAAAGGTAAACGAAATATAGAAATTACTTTTTTAAGTAGGTTAAGGAAAGGAATCTAGAATTAAAATTGTAAATATACATATATCACTATACAAAGAGGGTGGAACAGAATTGTCACTAGCTAATTGTTCCGTTACTGATTGCGTTATTGAAGCTGATATGGTTGCTAGGCAGCTTTATTACATAAAATTATGCAACAGAAAAAAATCCCAAGTAATTACCAGAAATAAGTGAATTTACTTCCCCATAAATTGTGATTTTAATGACAATAAAAAGCCCATTATTCTTTACGTAAAAGGTGACACAGTCATTTCTATGTTGAAATTCCTATAGTTATTGCAATAGTAAAGAAACATGGATGTTCTTTCTTCAAATCGGTACATAAGAATTAGAAATCAAACGGATAGCTGTTTAGCCGGATATCGGATATTCGACCAGTCTTATTACCGGATATCCGGCCGCCGGATATTCTGCTTCTATGTACGTACCCACAAAAACTAATGTAGAAAAAAATAGAGCTATCGAGGTGTTGATTTTTTAGTACTTACAGGTCTAAAAGTTTAAACTGTATCTTTAACAGTTACTGAATAATCAGCTGATGACTATATTCGGTTCTAACCTGTATATTAATGGGAGCAGTGTGAGGTCTTAATGTAAGTAATAATATAGGTTATTTGAGGCCTTGCGAAACATGTACATCTTAATAATTAACACTCGGCACATTACACGTTGGGAGTTGGGACTCGGTCGTCGTCTCAACTTTATGTTGGAACATTCGTAATCGTGGTCATGACACACGATCTGCGCGCTCGGGTACAATTTTATTGATTTGGTTTGTCGCACTTGTAACAAAGTTGTGATTTTACGAATGTTATAAGTCTTATCGCTTTACAACTTGTTTAGTGTGTTAACATCATATAACGGTTGTGATTTAGAAATGATTTAAAACTGCTATTATATATAACGCTAACCTGAAACTCTTACGGATTATATTGCTTTATATATGTGTATTTGTATCTATGTAAAAGTAAAAGTTTTGTCTGTGATAATATGTATATGGTTAACGTATTGTCTCCTAGCCGTAGCCGGTTTATAAGTTGAGAGCGGTCCAATCTGTCCACTGTCGCTATATCGTTTGTGGATATCCATTTCTTTATATCCTTAAATTCCAACTTTTCCCTTTTCCTGTTTTTATTTTACATATTTTATAGGTGATTGTATCAGAAGCAGCTATAATTAACTATAATATATATATACTTTATCTATAGTATGTAGTAGTAGTATTATGTAGTCATATATATCTTCTTCTGCTCAGCCTGGAGGCAGACTTGTAAAGAATGCCCTGTTGCATTAAATCCGCCTTTTTCTTGGTGTGCAAATAAAGTATAAATAAATAAATATCGCCGTGTTAAAGCAAAATTATAATTTTTGTTTTTATAAAATATTAAAAAGAGTTTTAGCAATAACTTTCGGTCACTTGATAACTGAGTTATACCTGGCTGTGAGTCCGTCAAAATTGATTTTAAACTGGTATAAAAATACTGTCCTTCGCTTCGCCAAGCAGATAGAATTATTATTTAATGAATCTTACCAATTGAATAAAACTAAATTTACGGATTTTATCGCGTTTATTTAACTGATTTTACTTATTTTTAATTCCCGAAGTTTCGGGTGCTTTACAGCACCCATAGTCACGGGGGGGGGGGGGACTGAGATGTTTGACGTCCCAATGTCATTGTTAGCCCGGTACCTTCAGTTTTTGAATATTAATTTTTAGGCCCGATTTACGCAAAACGAGCTTACAGTATCTTGAAGTCTTGCAGTGGTATGCTTGGGTTTGGATTTAATTTTGTTAATTATAGGATCCCAAGCAGATGGCAGCACCCATCCATCTTCTCTATTGAAAATAGGGTGTTTTTTTAATTTCAATAGCGTCACGTATCATCCTTGGTAAGAATCGGTGTTCTTTTGCGAGGTCTTGTGGTTTATCAAATCTGATGTCATGGTGGGGACGATCTTGAACATGTTCACAAACTGCAGACTTCCCGGAGCGTCGGTGCTTCACGTCAGCTATATGTTCTTTCACACGGGTTTTTATCGATCTTTTTGTTTACAATAAGAGAGCCTCTAACTTGTACACTCCTGCATCTTGTAGAGGGATATTACACTTGACGGATGGCAAAAATTGACTAATCTTCTTCGGCGGCTTATAGTATGTTTTAATGGAAGCTCGCTTCAAGATGTAGCCAACCTTGTCTGTGATTCCTCTGACATATAGCAACACGCTCGACTATGGCCGGCTTCACTCGGTCACTGTGACGTAGGCGCGCGACCTGAAGCTTGTTGTCTTGCAATACTTGCTTGACCTCCTGAAGCTCGGCGGCCAGATGTTTTCTGTCACAGATCCCTCGTGCTCTCTGAAACAAAGATTTACCCACGGTAGCTAACTGTGAAGGATGATGGTGAGATTCACCATTTAAATATCAGTTGGTATGGGTCTTTTTCCTATACACAGTGTGATCAATAGTGTTATCAGGATTTCGAATAACTAAAACCTAGGAAAGCTAAAGAATTATTTGCCTCTAACTCCATTGTGAATTGTATTTTAGAGTTTATAGAGTTAAGGTGGTCTAAAAATGCAGTTACTTTGTCAGATGGTAAAATTGTAAAAGTGTCGTCTACGGTACCGCTTGTAGAATTTTGGATTTACAGGAGCAGTAAGAAGGGCTTTCTCCTCGAAGTCCTCCATGAATATGTCGGCGACTATGGGAGATACAGGTGAGCCCATCGCCACACCATCTACTTGCTTGTAGAACTCTTCCTTCCACAATAGATAGCCAGATGTGAGGCAGTGTTTGAGTAATACTGCATATTCAGCAGGCATGTTATTGTCTTCTAGCTTCCTAGTTACAATTGAGATGCAGTCTTCAATAGGTAAGCATGTGAATAGTGACTGAACATCAAAACTGACCATAGTTTCCTTGTCAGCGAGATGTAGGTCTTTTATCTCACTAACAAAATGGTATGATTCCTTTGTGTGTGCTCTGGTCTGTCCTCTCAATGGTGACAGTATTTTTGCCAAGTGTTGTGCCAGCTTATAAGTTGGTGAATCGATCTGGCTCACTGTCCTATAGTGAGCCAGATCGATCAGTAGTGGAGCGTTTGGTTTGTGTATCTTTGGTAACCCATACAACCTCGGTGGTTTGGTACATGATGGTAATAGCGAACGTCGGGAAATAAAAATAAGTAAAATCAGTTAAATAAACGCGATAAAATCCGTAAATTTAGTTTTATTCAATGTGTAGTGTTCGCGTAAATATAAGGAATCTTAGGCGGTGGACTCTTATAAACGCCATCGGCCGCTTACAGCGTCACGCCGTACGCCGCGTTACGATGCTTACTATAGAAATGTACTGTTGTGGTCTCTTTCACAAGCTGATGTCAGCGTATGGACGTCCTTTGCGCTGCGTCTCTAGTTATTTCGAAGCATTGCAGCGTGAAGGTCGTGTCTAGCGTCAGTACAAAATGACAAAATTTAATAAAGAAAAAGACGAGTTACTGTATTATTATTGTTATGTTTAAATTGTTCCTGATTAATACGAAAATATTTAGTAAATTTAGAATTGCTGTCTTTTAAGTGCTTTATTATCAATAGCTGGAAACATCCTTCTTCATATCTCTTCATAGTTAATCGGTGCCTTGTTGCATTTATTTTTCTTCGTATACGGTCGTCTTGTGCCTCTTCTTCAAGTAACACAAGCGCTCCCAAAAGTATTAAATTTATATCCATTTTATGTATAAATATGACACACAACCACACGTGAGCACTGTCGGCTACTTAATTGTTGCTCGATCGAAAGTCTAGACGTCGTCCGTTTGTAAGATATGTATTGACCGCTGACGCTGTGTCTGGCGTTCAGACGCCGATCGGAACGTTTATGCTGAAGTCGGACGTCGCGTATAGCATTTAATAGGAGACCGTAGCCTTACGAATTTATGCTAATGTTGTCATTAGCATAGAATTTCGTAGTTAATTTTTAATTCACAAGAGTGAGAAATTGTTTGAAAATTAGATAATAAGTCCATTATCGTAATTTGGGAAAAGTTAAATGAACAATTAACATGAGCAGATGTGCATGGACTACAATCAAAACGGATGGCGGTTCAAAAATCATTACAATATTAATCGTTGCACTAATGTGGGTGCTCCTGCGGTCCGTCGCAATCTCTGCTATGAACGAAACGCGAGCGGGTCGATAACCCCGGCGGTGCGTCAAAGACAACGTGTGCCCAGCTCGCGACGACGGTCGACGATCGACAACGCAACCATTTGACATGCATCCGCAGTGCGACGTCACCGCAGCAGTTTGTTTTTAATTTTACGCGACAAAACATTGTCTATGTTGCGAAATTATGCTACAAGTTAGTTGAATGACCATGTAAAATGAATTTCTTTGCTTTAACACTGGCAGAAAGGTTACAAATCACAGTTGTCTACCATGAAGGTGAGTCGTATTTTGAGTGCTCAAAGTTAGCAAAACAACACTAATGAAATCAATTCGATTTTCAATGATCTGTCACAGTCATAGGCCGTTTTCCTTAAAATTAAAAGACAATTTAGCATACCTAGAGATGGTGTGTGACGGGTGACGGCCCTACAAATACTAAATTTTGATTCTGACAATTTTACAGAGGTTAGATTATGCCGTATAAAAATAATTTAGGCTCTCGAGTGAAAGTTTTATCGAAGCGGAAAATTGAAAATTATCAATTTATAAATGTAATAAATCACTGATGGAATGATAAATTGATCAAGCGGGAATTGTTTTTACAGTGATTTGTTTATTTTTGCTTAATTATTAAGATTCTTGTTTCGATTAAAATGTTGTTTTAACTTAGTAGTAAGTTTTTTTTTAATTTTCTTAATATGTTTGTTTTATCTGAATGTGTTTTTTATTTCTCTAGAAATACCTAATTTTAGAATTTCTTGCTGAAACATAAAAAAGAGCACATCATAATATAATCTGATAAGATAAGAATTCTATTGGTATATTATTAAATGGTATGATATCTCGTAAAACTATTAATAGAAATGTTAAGATGCATCGAAACAATGTCTCCACTACAACAGTATACGTGCAAGCAACAGCACGTGAGGGTCGCTTGCGAAGCCGTGTGAATTATGTATAAGAGAATGATGTCGAGTAGTATTTCTGGCTAGCCGCCCGATATTCGCTAAATTGTAAAGACTACACCACCATCGGTTTAAAATGGTTCTTAACAGATTAACAAGCTTATTTATTGGAGGCGTTACCTACGGACCCAGATTCTATAATTACCGACTTCCCTAAATATTGATAGTTAGTTTTTACTATGTCACATCTGAAATTGCTTAGTCTTCAAAACACAAGCTAAGGACGTGTGGGCTGGGCTGTCAGCTTATGTAAACATGCGAAATTTTTATTTGATGTTGTTCCACTACGCGTTTGAAATGAAATAATGGCGTAATGCGAATCGTTGTATTATCATGCGCGCATAGTAACGTCTTCTCCTTCATCAATCCGTAAGAAGAAAAGGGAATTTAACCCATAGTAGGTAATTATCATCATCATTACAACCCTTCACAAGTCCACTGCTGAACATTGGCCTCCCCCAAGGAATGCCACTAAGCACGATCCTGAGCCACCTGCATCCATCGACTTCCAGCATGTCATACTAGGTCGTTACTCCATCTAGTAGGGGTCGCCCTACATACGCCTATCGGTACGGGGCTGCCACGCGAGAACCTTTATTCCCCATCGGTTGTCGCTTCTTCGAGCTATATGGCCGGTCCATTGTCACTTCAGCTTACTAACTACCGTTGTCTTATGTCGGTCACTCTGGTTCTACTGCGGATATCCTTATTTCTTAGTTTATCACGCGGAGAAACCCCGAGAATAGCCCTCTTCATAGCTTGTTGAGTGACCTTGTGCGTCCTCATATGGTCAACAGTGAAGGACCACGTATCAGATCCATAAGTCATCACTGGCAACACGCACTGGTTGTACAATCTAGTTTTCAGGTTTTGAGGTATACCTGCCGAGAAGATGTGTCGTTATTTCCCGAACGCTACCCAGCCGAGTTGAATCCGTCGATTGACCTCTTGGTCGAAGTTGGACTTACCTAGTTCGGACTGTTTGTCCTAGGTAAACGTACTCATCAACAACTTCGAGCTTAATGTTCCCAACAACTCCCGGCATAGGTGTGACAAAGACATTAAACATGATCTTTGTTTTGTTCATGTTCATCTTAAGTCCTATCCGTTTGGAGACACTATTGAGGTCATTGAGCATAGTGCTTAGGTCCTCCATCGATTTTGCCATAAGGACTATATCGTCGGCAAATCGAAGATAAGTGATGTACTCGCCATTGATGTTAATACCATATCTGTTCCAGTCCAGTAGCTTGAGAACGTCTTCCAATGCAGCGGTGAATAGTTTCGGGGATATAACGTCACCCTGTCTTACACCTCTCTGCAGTTGGATAGTTTTCGTACTCTGGTTCTGTACTCGAATAGCCATCGTAGCCCTACTGTACAAACACTTCAGTACTTCGATATACCGGCAATCAACTTCGCACCGCTGAAGGACTGGAGCACCGCCCGAATTTCGATGAAATCAAAGGCTTTCTCATAGCCCACAAGCAACGACATAAATAACCCATAGTAAGAATCAATCTAATTAGTTGTATTAGTTCCGAAATTCATTTATTTTAATATATTCGATATAGTCGCAATTAATTAGTTTTCTGTCCGTCGTGTCCAATCGAGCCTATGAAGCACCGAAACCTAGATTAACATTAACTTTATACTAAATATATGTACATAATTTTTTAAGAGATATTTTCGTCACCTACCAGTGTACACAGTGCAAAACCTGCTTTGACTTAATTCGTTTTTTTCATTCGTAAACTTATCATTTGTGTTTTTGGTTTAACTACCGGAACAAATAATAATTATAAAGATGAAATATCCTTTTCAATATTAATAATATCGATTTTGTGACTTATTCGTTATTGACACAATTGATTAGAATGAAATTTTGCCGTCTTCGTCTCGATACTATAAATGAACAGTCAAGTCAGAGTCCACTGCTGAACATAGGCGTCCCCATAGATTGCCTCATTAGGGAGATATTTGCCATAGTTGCCGCGTTTGGCAGGCGAGTTGGCAACCGCAGTTTTTTGTTTTCTAGTTGTTACTATGAAGTAACAACTGTAACTCCTGGTTTCTTTGCCTCTGTCGTTTCTTAAACAAATGAAGGGGAAATGTTGCGAGAAAAGAATAAAAAAATATCACGGTGATTAAAGTTTTTCCACATCTATACTGTATGATAAAGAGAATAAAGATACTTTAATGATATTATTTAATCTAGATTATAACAGTACTACTTCGCCTTTGCCCATAGAATCGAGATTTTGTTTGTAGCTTAATTGTGATAAAGTGATAAAAGGTGTATTATACACATAAACAGGTTTTGTTTTATTGCAATAAATTTTATTTAGGAAATGCTATTCAATCAATAAGTGAAAAAAGACTAGTAATACTAACAATAACGTTGAAGTGTCGAAAACTTGTCTCTGATACAGCATTCCAGTCTACTTCATAGGAAGTTGCTCATATTGTCGAAATCGGTCAACAAAATAATTTAATTATTTATCAATAAAAACTTAATGTTATACCTAACTCAATATTTTACTGAATTCGTGGCAGAGACGAAGGAAATCATTATATTAGATATAGAAATGTTGCAATGAATGAGTCGTTTCAACACCAACCAACACAGTACAGCGTAACCTAGTCATTGCTGGTATGCTGGTACGTTATAGATTAGCTATGGTAATATTAATTGATATGTGCAACGGCTGTATTACGACACCGTCGCAATGGCATTGGGGCGGTGTAGAAGCCGAGCCACGCTGCATTTTATGCGTAATACGGAAACTTAGGTACATACGTATACCTTTATATGGCTCATGTGTAATTATTCTGGTCACATTTTGGATCTGTTGAGCTGATTATTGTTTTGTCTTGTCGATCGTGAAGATTCTGATTTTGTGTATAAACTAGCTAGCCCGGCAGACATTATTCGGCCGCTTTCAGTAAGTTTTTAAAAAAAATATAGAGGCGACAATCAAGCATGTAGTCCACCTGATGGTAAGCGAATACTGTGGCCCATAGACACCTGGTGTCTCCGGGAAGCACTAAGTTGTAATGTCTCGTTATCAGTCAGAAGGATTCACTCGTGAATTCACCCGGACTTTTTACAATATAAATATGAAGTTTATTAAAAACTTGAACACCGCGCCACCTGTCGGGTTCAGATTTTGTAATATTCCCTTTTGTCACTTATCAGACATTTATTGTAAATATGTAAATTTTCCTACAGCTCCACCAATCGGATCCTTATGAACCAACGTCTCGATTGAACAAAAATACCCATTGTGTGAATATGACTTCAATCGGTCATGATGTTCAGGGAAAACCCTAATTTGACGAATCCATTCACTGTATATTACAATTATCCTTACTTTACACAAAAAATTATTTTGTTATGCAATATCGTAATTTAATTGTAAAATGAATCGATAATTTCAGATGTTTGCTATCGCGGGATTTTGTGAGGCTCGGGAAATGGTTTGTCCAACCTTACGATGGCGACGAAGAAGATGTTGGCAAGAGGTATGTCGACAGGACAAGCTATTATTTAACTTTGATTAACTTACTGGAAGTTCAATTTGAGCAGTTCAAATGAATTGTTTCAAAGGAACTCTGTGGAAACACAGAATTGCACTTCCTATATTATACATGAAGATCTCTGTGTTGTGCCTGTTGAGAAATAAGGGTATAACTTCGTTCCCCTTCAAACATTCATAACAACACTTGTGTTACCAATTCACTACCACACACTTAGATAGTTTAGTACTAATTTCAGTAACAACAATTACACAAAAAAATAATTCATACAAAGATGAGTTCTAAGATCTGCACGTATATTCGTGACGTATATTTGATACAATAATTTGAAATCAATGCGCTCTGGTTGTAAGACGCGAGAAATGAAAACTGGTAACAGTTTTCATTTCTCGCGTCTTATATATTCCACTTTTAAAAATTAGAAATGTTTTATTATTTAAGGTAGAATCAACTGACTTCAATTATCATCGGTTCTGGTTGAATGTTTCTATGAGACTTTATATAAAGATTCTAAGATGGTCAAAAGTTACAAAGATAGATTACATTTTTTTCGATTTGCTAAAGTTTCAAAATGTACAACAAGCTGAAACACATTTATTTGCTAGTGTCTTCATTGTTATGTTATGTTAATCGAGCAAAGTTAAAGTGAGGTGTGCGCGTGTTGCAGCCCGTGGCACCTGTCGTTCTCGTTCGCGTTCTTCCTGCACGGCGAGAGCACGGTGTGCGCGTCGGTGGACGTGCGCCAGCACCCGCCCGTGCGCACGCTCACCGCCAAGCGGCTGGCGCGCCTCGCCGCCGCAGACCACCGCGACCGCGCAAAGGGTGAGCACCGCTCGTAATCACAAACCACACTTACCACGCCCGCATGTATACTTGGAACGGTAGGGTTGTATATGTGAGTGAGATTCAAATACAACACTAGTATGTACCTCCGCTTAAAGAAAAAATGTGTCTATTGAAATCCCAACGGGGCGAGGTTAGTGGATTTATCAAGAAGAAGCGGAGCATTTCTGTACATCAAAATATTATTGGCCGCCACTCAAAACATCGATAAGTATTCTTGTAATCTATATTGAGTAAATTATTCTATTCATGTATGATAATATATTTAAAGTATGTCTATGGGCCGCCACCCACACTAGTGCAGACTGCATGTTTCACTTATCATCAGGTGGATTATATTATTTGCTGGTTTGTGACTCTGTTATTTAAAAACATTACATTTAACTGAAGGAATTTGTGTAGTATTACCTGTAGTTAAGGTGAAGGTGGTAGCATGTAGTGATGGTGTAAGAATATCCACTGCCCCATATCATCTGGTGGGTGTCGTAAGAGGCGACAGAGGGAAACTGATCCAGCAAATAGGAAGCAGCAATTCTAGATAACAGCTGTACAAAAAATCTGCGGTTGCTAACCTGCTTGTCAGGCCTGACAACTATGGCGAATTATGATGAAGCAATCTAAAGGGCGGCCTATATTAAGTAGTAGACCTATGAGAGGCTGTAATGGTATTGGAAAGTTTGATCGGGATGGGACTACACTTTCACCGAAAATAACCGAGCGAAAAGCAGCTCAATGCTTCATATAGAGATATATTAATGTTTCATATAGAGAACTGGAGACCCTTACTGGATATGAGGTATTCCATTTTAGTCCTCAGGAGTGACAACGCATCTGCATTATGATTATTAATCGAGGATAAATTTAATGTGTCTATGGGCCTAGCATCTACTTACTATCAGATGGACTGAGTGCTCATTTGTGACCCTTATTCTATAATAAAAAATAAAACAAGTTGTGAAGTGTGAGGGTATGTCGGTTGCAGTGATCCTGGCGCCGTTCGGTCTGGAGGGGCGCGTGACGGGGCGCGAGTGGAGCGACGGCGACCCGACCACGGCGCGACTGCTCGATGCCTGGCGCCAGCTCTACCCGCTTGAGCACGGCTGCGGTGCCGTTGAGGTATTCAACGTTGCTGCCTTTAAATAGCTACCGCCAGATGGCACTCAGCTGGAGAAGAATGCGTTAGGTATGGTGGAAGCAGTTATCAGTGTCCCTGTACCAACAACTGGGCATATAACAGTTGTGTTGCCTATAATAATCCAAATTCGCATTTCTGGATTCTTGTGCCTGATGTTATGGAAACACATTACGATGACAAAGAGCGTCTTTTTACGCAGGGTCAAAGTAGAATAGCATACTGTGCGCCAGTTTGCAATGGAGTACTTATATGAAATATGTGAACAAAATTATTCTGATTAGAAATTCAACATCCATATAACTTTCATATATTTATGTTGTCAGTTCTTTTCATTCAGTCTTAGCTTTTTTTATTAAGATTAGAAAGAAAATTCATAATAAGAGATAGTGGAATGATTTAATTTATGATTTTGGATCTCGCAATATTTGTTTATTTATTTGAATTTAAAACCTTGGAAATCGATTAATAACTATATTTTTATAGTTTACTAATATTTATGGTAGATAGATAACTCTTTATTGCAACCGAAAAAAGTTATTACAATAACGAAAAACTTATGACTACAAACGGTGGTCATATCGCTTTAAGCGATTTCTGCCTCGAAATTTGGTCTGGAGGACGTTATTACTTGACGTGCGTTGCTGAGTTGTCTTGTGGTTGTGTGGTTTCAGGTGGAGTGCGGTGGTGTGCGCATGCGCTACCCGCTGCCGTACGCGCTGCTGACGGAGATGGAGGCGCCGAGCTCGGGTGCGCCGGCCGCAGCCGCCTCGGCGCTCGCGCGCCGCGCGCTGCGATCGCTTACCACGCCGCGCCCGCACCAGGTGCGCACGCACACACACACACACTTTCACACGTTCATTCAAGCCTACGTGCACACGTACACGGCCTCTGTTAAAACGTTACAATCACAGATTACGCAATCGGAAGTGGGATACAGTGCTATCTTTAAAACATTGACAGCTCTGAGTATACTTCCAAAATTAAATTGAAGGACAGATAACCGTTTAATTACAAGAATATTTTGAAGTCAATAATATGGCTTGATATTAACTGTCCATACAAATTACGTCGGGTATGCTGAAAGTTTCGCGTAACTAATAAATAAAACTGGTACATATTAACTAATTAATATTGACTTTTTTTTAAAAGTATTCTCCATTAAATTTTAAACACTCATTAATTCAAACCATTTTTGAAAACATACGCTACTACTGGTCTGAGGGCATGTTTTGCACTTAATGGTTTAAATCTATCACAGCCTCATCTGGCTCCGTGTCAAATCTTGTATTTTTGGAAAAAATAATGAAATTGTATGGTGCGCTGTCTGGTCTGTGTGTGAGATGGGTCACAAGCACCACACTTTCAAATAAATCAAAACAAGGGTTAATTCTTTTGCTCATCAAATGGGATCGTGGATACAGGACCTACCTGGGAGAAAAAAACGAAGTCACTTTTTGTCTTTATTGCTTGGCTGCTTTAATTTTGTTGGTTTACTGTTGTCTTCAAACACCCATACAGCAACTGTTGCTTTCTTTTATGTTACAATGTATCCATGTTTCATTTCCTGTCACAATGTTTATACACACAACAATTTGAACGTCTGTAATTATACTTAACTCCCAACAAAGTTTTCTAACTTTTTTTTTTAAATTTTCTCATACCAATACTCAAATATCTTCGAATTTCCTTGGTAATCATAGGTGGTAAGGCGCTGGTTTTTTTTTAAAATTAGTCGCCTGATAGAAGCCACATTTCCTCAGTGATCGCAGTTGAGGGATTTCATCATGGATAGAGACACGGCTAAGATCAAATTCTTCGTACCAACGCCTTACGGTGCTCGGATGATGTGTTTGCCTCCCAAAAGCATTTTATAAATGAGCAGTGCAATCTTGCAGAGAAAGAAAGTGACCTTTCAAATTCATAAAAAATTATCGCTCTAAAATGTTTCCATTTTAGCTACGAATGGATCAACTTCAATTTCTGATATAATTGACACATGACTTCCGGTTAAAATTTATTTTAACCAATATAATGCCCTGAATTACTTTCACTAGTTGGAATAAGAATCCCCAGACTCATCGACTCGGCTGCACACGTATGCCCCACTATTTGAGCCAAAAAAAAAAAGGGAACAATTATGGAAAAAATAGCCCCATATTACTTGTTGTATCCGAATATAACCAACTTTTTAAAAAGGCAAACATAAAATAAATATAGATATTTTTACAGACAGAGTTAGTCAATTTCAAGTGAATGTTGAAAAGCATATTAGAGTAACTTGACACATTCACTTTAAATAATAATAAATTAAATAACCATATTAAATATAAATTTGACTTATGGTTTTAGTTAAAAATGTTTTTTATTTTATTTTATAGTTGTCTTTCCTTTTAACAAAATTTAAATCTAACACAACATATTTTTAGTTTTGTTTTTAAATAAAATAATTGCGTTGATGTTAAAGTGTAATTTAAGTACATATATATATAGTGTTATAACAAAATGTAGCTGAAATGTTTTTATATGTACTTAGTTGGTAAGTCTAAATTAATTAATAAATAATATTATGAGTATCTTATGTTCTAAAAATATATCTTTCGAAATTCAAACATTCATGAGCGGACAGGAATGCAAATTTTTCAGTGCGCCCTAAGTAAGTTTTATATCAGGCAAACTGACAAATAATAAAAATTCATCTCGTGCTAATTTATATTCACCCAACTAAAATAATTATGGACTATTTCAGACACCGGAGCTCTGCTACGATGATACGTCGGGCGATAAGTGTGAAGACTTTCTGGATCCCACTCGGAAAACACCTTGTACCTGCGCAAAGTGAGTACCCACGCTGTTGTTAACATACTACATGAGCCACTCTACATTACAGACACGAGTATTTTTGGGAAATGTGTGCTCTAAAATTTTAAATTACCATGTTTTAAATTAACTCTTTATGCCTGTATGCTGATAATAATGTTGTAGTAAAATATTTTTTATTCTAGTTTAAACAGTTACATGTTATTTCTTTTAAAATATTGTTGTTAAAGTCGCGCACATTTTTCAACAACATTTTATACAAACTATATTAAAGGGGCAGTATGTAGCAGTAGTTGTATGAAAATTGTGTGTCATGCATTTATATATACGTATATTATACAGAAAAATATTACACTATTGTACTTCAACGCATCGGAATGAAAGATCGTCAATCACAGTCAAAACCACTGATTGTGCTTTTAGAGTACATACTGACTGTTATCGACGGATTTTTGTGTTGCTAGCTCTAAACAATTTAACATACAGTATGTAGCTCAAATGTAGATAGATAGGTAGATGTTATGTGAATGTGTTATAGAAATTTTAATAGTTTATTTTATTATATTTTAAAGTATATTTAAAACTGTAGAGGGTATAAGCTTGAAATATAGTTGCGCCTTGAGGTGCGTCTATTGATTTTATTTCTAAAAGCATGTTGGGAGTATCTACACATTTTTTCTATAGCAAAAAAAGCTTGAATTTACTTTTATCGATTCTTTCCGTATTTAAAAAAAAACTGTAACTTTTAATAATTTTGAGGTTGTTTTTCTAAGTCGGTTTACTTCGTTTTCTAATGAAAAACAATTCGGATGAATGTGTCGATTCTTCTGACTGCGTCGTGCGCGTGCAGGCTGATGTCGTACATCGGTCTCCAGCGCCACTCGTGCCTGCCTTGTCCGTGTGACTCGTCCGGATAGTTTTACATCTAATTATTAATGAATATATTTACCAATATTTTAGATTATTAGATTACACATATACCAATATTTAGATTTTTTGTTATTATTTTAAAATCTCTGTGCGATATGGGAAAGTGCTCAGAATAAAAATTGAAGATGTATTTATTTTACGTTTTAAAGATGGTATCACCTTATAAAATAAAAAAGAAAAATATTATTCGATTTTTTAAAAATATCTTTTTTTCCAAAAATTGATAATCAAAAACATATATTTTATTACATTCTCAAAACAACCTTGCATGTTTTTCGGATATTATGTAGCCTAGGTCACTCTGGAATTGCTCTCGAATCTGTTTGTGAAGTTTCATCACAATTTGGGAAGTCATTCTGAAGCTTATCCGGGTCAGAAAAACTTTTAAAAAAGCAAAGTAGCCTGCTTATTTATAGCTTAATAGAAAAGAGCTGTTTCGATATCAGAGACGCACTCTTCAATCTTAATGATCAATTTTTTTTCAAGTTACTTATGTTGTTGGAGATAAAATATAGGCGTAGTACATTTTTTTTTTGTAATTTTCAAAAACTTTAAAATGTATATATATATATATTTTTATTTTGTGTTGATTTCGTAACTGAATGCTTTTGTGACTTCAATCTGCCATCGTGAAACCGTGTGATTCCACTTAAACTGTAGTCTCAGTATCCACAAGATATTCGGTTTTGAGTTTCGAGATAGTTATCGTGCGCCGCGTAGCGTTAGTGTGCAGCAGTAGTCGTTGAATATGAGAAAGGGTCACACGGACGCGGTGGTCGCGACCAGTGCAGTACCGTCACCCCGGCGGCGGGCAGGAGGGGTAGGCGGGGTAGTACCGGCACGGCTGCATGCGGTCCGGACGCTGTGGGCGGCAGTAGTTGTGTTGTGCAGGTGGCGGCGGCGGCGCGCCCCCCGCCCGCCGCCCTTCCACCGGCGCGCGCCGCGCCCCGAGCGCTCCCCCGCGCCCGCGCACCCGCCGGCCTCGCGCCCGGACCGACCTGCCCGCCTCGCACGCCCCGCGCGCACGTGAGTACGCGCACGCACGCACGCACCGCATCGCATCGCATCTCACCGCCTCGCCGACTTATATTGACACCGGCTGCGACCTCACCAGTTTCTAACGCAAACACATACTACGGCTGCCAATGTGTACATATAATCTACATTATTTGAAACTTTATGACACTGCAAAATTTGTGTTGTGTTCTCCATATCTATCCTATTCAAATTTACAGTGTTAGAAAGAAACTCATTTTATTACTTAAAAATCGCTAAAACTAAACTGGTGATCTTGCAACTTTAAGTATAAATTGGTATTAACAAGTTCAAATCGTTGCCGGCGAAACGAGGCCTACCTTATAATGCAACGTGTTATGGGTAAGTTCTCTTACCGAATCAATCACCAGCACACAAGTCACTCGACTGCCGTCGTAACGACATAAATCTAGAGAGTATGAAAAATTCGCTATTACCAAGGACTACCCTAATTATTTGAAGCTATACCAAAGTATATCTACATATTTGTAAGTATCCAATAATCTATAATCGTACCTACCGCAGTTATTGTGGTATTATACATAATTCTCTGAAACCTGTTATAACAAAAGAGAATAACTCGGCTACATTACCCGAGGTATGTTAACTCATCTCATCGCTTTGGACATCAAGTGAGCTTTAACAATGTTTTTATTTGGTTTAAGACGCAAGCTAAAAACTATGCAATGCTTGTACGCATGTTACATTGCCTTCATACAGCTATGACTATTTATCTACTATACTGCATTCTTGTATATTGCATGATTTATTCCTATCGTTTTAAATTGCATGTTTTGTATCTTTATAACAACAGTTTTGAAATAAACCTCTACATATACTCTACACTACTTTTTATCACATCATTTTCTACAACCCATTTGACTACTTGAGTACATTCATCAACTGTTTTTTAATAATTTATTGCTTTTTTCGAATAATAAATAAATTAAAGTTTACAAAATACAAAACATCATGGAGGGTTTATTTGGGACATTATATTAATTATCTTGTCTCCAAATCGATCTCTTAACTCTTCCTATATAATTCAGAAGATCTCTGTGCAGCACCTTTCAAGTACTGAGGAGCTGCTTCATTCCCCTTCGCACATTTTACTTGTCTCTTCAGTAAACCACTATCCTTATACAATACAAGATAACTTTATTTTGATTGTTGTCGAACGCATTATTGATAATTATTACATCACGGTTTCTAAAAGGCGAAAAAAATCTATCACGGTTTAGTTAAATGGTAATTAAGGATCCATTCCATTATTTAATTTACATGCATTATAACATCTACCTCTCATCTCGAATCTGATGACATTCTGATCGGTTCGTCATATTATCATTATGCGGATTTGTAATATCATTCATTAATAGGTGGGAAGTGAACGAATGTTAGAATACGAGGTTTAATTGAAAGTGCAATAATTTCAGTAAAACATATATTGCACTTTTAATGCTAAAGCAATAAATTTGGGATGCGTCATGTGTATGGAGCGTATAGAAAAGGAGAAATATCTCAATGTGTTGTTGTTATAGTACGAAAAGGCGTAAACCTGAAATAAAGTGCTAAAAATATTTGAGTAGGACAGAAGATAAACATTTGCTCTACATTAGATTAACATAAATATGTATGTGTATAATATGCAATTATTGTGTAAAATACCTCCGTCAGAATATTTATATCATGCAAAAGAAATCCCCAGGGAGGATGTGGTGGGAGTTATTTTTAACCGACTTCAAAAAGGAGGTGGTTCTCAATTCGAGTGTATGTTTTTATTATGTGTATATGTTACGTTACGCAATATCTTCGCGGATCGTGAATAAATTTTGACAATTCTTTTTTAATAAATAGGTTGTATTTCAAGGATGGTCCCATATAAATTTGGAGAAAATGTGCACCCCTAAGGGTAGCGAATAAATAACTTCTTATTTAGAAATTTGAAGTCGGTTTTTATTTTTTGTTAAAGTTATAATTATTTTAATGTTGAATTGCTTTTTTTTTCTTTTTGGATATTTTCATTATAAACATCATGAGATATTTCTCTTTGTACTCTACATTTCATAGTGATGATTAATAGTCTAATTGTGATATTGGATTCCACTGGCAAAACTGGTGCAACTTGGATTTTAATAATTAAGCCAAAGTAACTGGAAAAAGATTTACAATTTGTGTGTGAAGTTGCAAAAGTTTTGAGCCTGTGGATTATGGGTGGGATTACGAAACTCACTGTAAAGTATCCTATTTTATTTATAAGTCTTACCTCTAAAATAAAAAGAAACTTAGTAGTCTATACTAATTATCAAATATTTTAATGTATTCTCTTCGGAATTGTTTGCGCTGATATATTTTTAATAACCACAGTGTACTTAGAAATATATTAGTGCTTGTACTTATTGGCAAAATATGTAAGGATTCGATAGAATTTTGGACCTACAAGTCTTTTTATTTTTGTCGTATTCATTTATTTCTTTGTTTGGATACTAGCCTTTAATTATACCATGCGCACACGACAGTAATATAATTCTTTACAGGTGACATCTTCGCATGAATATTTAAGTAGATATAAAAGTATTAATTGAAAAAAAGTTAAATGAGTGGAGAAGGGCGAGATGTCACCTGAGAGCGGTGTCGTGTAGTAGACGTGTGCAAGTAGCGAGCGGTGCGTTGTGCGTGTGCAGGGCTGTGGGCGGCGCGTGCTCGCCGGGCAGCTGCGGCGCGTCGCCCGCGCCCGCCGTGTCGGCGCCGTCGTCCGCCGGCGCGCCGCCGCCCTCGCCGCACCTCACCGCGCTGCCCGCGCAGGTCGGTGCACACCCACACCCCACAACCCACACTGCGTGGCTAACACACATAACTATTACTTTGTGTTTCCCAACTATTACTGCATATGTACTTGTGTCACTCTACACACTATAATAAACATAAAATAAAAATACAACACTTCTTTATTCATTATGAATTGATTTTAACAATTTTTATGAAAACGCCAAATCAAAAAAATCATAATGCAGCTTATTGACAGAAACAAAACGAATGCTATGGTACTAATCGATTATGGTATATAAGTAATTTTAGCTCAATGTAACTGTATCAGCAAATACACAAAAATTACACTTTAAAATTTACGATTAACTGATTTTTTTTACAAAGAATATAATTGAAGCCGTAGAAGTTAGTTATTATACAGCAAATTTACTGCAATTGTATATAATTATATATAATTGTATATATAATTTTGTAAGTATAACTAAAGAGTAAAGTGTTGATGAAACGCAGCTGATGTAAGGGTATGTCCGTAGTCGGGCGGCGCGGTGCCGACAACGCTGCACACGCCGGCGCCCACGCCCGACCCGCACGCGCCGCCCACGCCCGCGCCGCCCTCCGCGCCTCCGCACAAGCTCTACCCGCAGGTACCGCGCCGCTTGCTCCACCACACACAACACTTCATACGCCACAAACACATTCAAATTAAAAATATATCCTGTTCGATGCACCGAAGCCAAGTATTCAAAATAGTTCTAAGATTAAATTTTAAAAATTGATGTGGTAATTGGTTTTTTGCTTAAATACACAACGGGAGGGATAAAATACATGTAAAACAAAAGATGCGTGTTCTCACTGTACATGCTAATATTTAACTACTATTATAACCGTTCATTGAGCTATTATGTATTACGTACTAGAGGCGACACTGCATTCAGCTACTCTGTTCCACTCAACTGCGGTGCATACACCGCACTTTAATCAGTCACTCGCTAGGCGCTTGTAGAGTTGTCACGTATTGTGTTGATTTAAAAAAAATCTCTTGATAAAAATATGGCGTCGTGTGTACTTAGATACTGCACAAATAATTCAAGAAATGTCAGAAAAAACCAAGGAATTACTTTTCATCGGTTAACAAGATACTTAATCAATAAAAATATTATAGAATAATAAATAACAAATTATTCCTGAGACGCCATCTCATGTCATGTAATATAGATTATGAAATTAATTTTGTTCAGATACGACATTTCTGTGGGTACTTAAGTATAGGACGAATATATTATTATACACATTTTTTTTGTAGAAAAATATATGAGATCATAATTAGTCTAAATTTTTTATATTTAAATCTGTTCATTATTCTTTTATTTTATTTTTAGGTTTCCACATCAAAGTCAAAGTGGAATAAATTCGTCCATTTTTAACTCTCGCGTTCCCAGCATTTATGAACGACTTAAAAACATATACGAGGGCGGCACTGAAAATTTCGGGAATCAAGGAAGTGACAGAACATTACTATTTAAATTTTTTAATTATTATTTATTGCTTTTCGAAGTATTCTCCGCGAAATTTGACACATTTTTCCATACGATGGAACCAATCATTGAAGCAACCATTCCATTCGGAAGTTGGGGTCTCCAAAATGGCCGTTTTGTAGACGTCCACAGCTTCTTCAGGTGATGAAAATCTCTGTCCACGCAATTTATTCTTTATTTTAGGGAAAGTATAGAAATTATTAGGGCTTAGGTCGGAGCTGTACGGCGGATGGTCTAATAATTCTATGTTTTCTTTCTCTAAAAACTCTTTTGTTCTGTGTGCGGTGTGAGAACTCGCATTGTCGTGATGGAGGATGATGCGGCGGTTGCAGTTCTCTTTACGGAGTTCAGAAACGACCTGTGGCAAACAAATGCTAGCATACCATTCTTCATTAACCGTTTTTTGTCCATCAAGAGGAATAGTCGTAACATGACCGGTTTTGGAGACAAATGTGGCCACCATTTTTTTTGCAACACTCCGTGAACGAACAATTTTTGTTGGCTTGAACTCATTTTCGAACACCCAAACTCGTGACTGGTTTTTTGTTTCGCGTATATCCAGGATTCGTCACCTGATACAATGTTGTATACAGCATTTGAGGATCCTGCGTGGAATCTTTCGAGAGTTCTGACGCACCAAGTAACGCGAGCCGCTTTTTGCTCTTCACAGAGCGAAAATAACTTTTTTAATTTTTCATGCAAGATTATTTGTATTCGACTCATGCCAATGTCTGAAGTTGCCTGAATTTCGCGGTATGTCACATGTCGATCTTCCTCAATCAGCTTACGCACAGCATCAACGTTTTTTTGGGTGACTGCAGTTTTTGGACGACCTTGACGGGGATCATCACTGAGCTTGACACGTCCATGTTGAGATTCAGCAAACCAGCGATAAGTTGTGGTTTTGGATGGGGCTTCATCACCAAATGCAGAAATCATCCGGTCAACACACTGTTTTTGTGTTAAACCACTTCGAAAGTCATAATAAATCATCGCTCTTGAATTTTCTCGAGTCAATTCCATTTTCTCAACGACTAAACAAGTTTGACAAAACCTTGTGACAAGACCGAGAATCTTTTTTAAATAAATAAATGGTATTCGATTTTTAAAACCAAGGAGTTTTCAATTAAAAAGATTTTAATATGACAGGAACAGTGGAAATATTCCATTCCCGATACTTTTAGTGCAGCATAGTATTTGTAATTTATATGTTATATTATTAAGTTTTGTTAAACATACGTTTAGTATGTTTCTTTATATTTGACATAGATATCTTTTAAAATATCATTAAAATGTAATTGATATAATATTATATTAAATAAGCAAATATAATCTACAAAATAAATGACGAAATTTGAAAATTGTTCTCGATATAATTTACCTATTTAACAATACAATCTACTATTACCTACTGATCATTCTACCTATGTCTATTCTATGATAAAAAAACCAACCGCGCGAACACAGAGTAGCGCACATTTTTTGTTTGAAATAGCTGTTCTAGTACGTAAGTACATATTGCTTTAATGTAACCGTTACTAACTTTTTTGTTAACTTCTTGCACTGAGGTATATATTATTGTAAACGATTAGCACAAATGTGTAAATGTGTTGTTTGCGATACGACAGGGGGACTCGCCCAGTTACGCGGGCAACGGGAACGGCACGGGCGCGGCGACGGGCTCGGAGCTGCTGCGGCGGCCCGTGCTGCCGCCCGCCGAGCAGCGCCTCGACCCACTCGAGGACGAGCACTCGCTGCACATGCTCTACGACTACACCACCGTGCACGCCTGGTACGTGCACTATGAAGTCTGCACGTGGTACACGACTGCGAGTAATTAATGTGAAAATATGAAGACGATGGCACATAAGAGAAATGAAAATCATATAACAATACACTGAGCTTATTTTAGCTACAACGGGGAACTTGCATGGTTTTTAATTTTTTTGAAAGTTTGCTAGATTTATTAAGAAAAAAAATAACGATCAATTTTTCATGTAATTGTATAATAAATAATTATAATATGGTTTAATCTGTAATAAATGTATAAGGTAAAAGTAAGGTGACTTCAAATTTGACGGGCTACGTCCGTTCGACCTTCGATTTTTTTTATGTTGGTGCATTTGTCTTGAACATCTGTGAAAAGTTTCAAGCCTCCTCTCTACGAACGATCGCTACGTGTTTAATTTTTGACAAAAAGAAACATCAAAAACTTGTGAAATATTGTATTATGCGTGGATGCGCAAGTGGTTTAGCATCTGATCGGAAAAATAGACTGAAAATGGCTTTTATTGAGACAACTTAGCGATCGCAGCGCCTCACTTATTTTGTCCATATTTCTGGGACACTGTTTTCTACAGCGATCGTTCTCTTCTCTAACTCCATGGCTTTAAGTGTATAGCATTTTTTGTTTGTGAGAGGTATTAAGTTTAGAAGTTAGAAGTGTTTTGCGTGCTCAGCGATTTTCTCTGTCGAAAAACACGGATCAAAGAATTTGCATAAAGTATTTTGTAAAAAATGTAATCAACTGTGTACTACATAGTGTACACACAATACATCTGTAGCGGCATACGATGGGTCTACTTTAAGTAAAAAAAATGTTTGCAAGTGTTATAAACTCTTCTAAGAAGGCCCAGGAGACACCAATGACGAACCTCGCTCTGGACGCCCCAGCACCATCGACGCCACGCACAGCGTCATCAACAGATGAGAACATTGAAGAATTGAAGAAAATAGTGTTGAGGAATCATCGAATTTTAAAGGGTGTTTTGAGCATGAGACGTGTGTCAGCAAAGTTTGTTCCTAAATTGCTAAATTTTGACTAAAAGAACCGTCGCGTGAGCATCGCTGAAGAACTGTTGAATGACGTCAACGATGACCCAGATTTACTCAAAAGGGTCATAACAGGTGACGAAACAATGGCTTATGGTTATGACGTCGTAACTAAGGCTCAATGGTCCCACTGGAAGCAGTCAGACGAACCAAGACCGAAAAAAGCACACCAAGTTCGATCAAATGTCGAAGTGTTGCTCACTGTTTTCTTTGATTATCATGGCGTAGTGCATCAGTTCTTACCACAAAGTTGTACAGTTAATAAGGAGTATTATCTTGAGGTAATGCGCCGTTTGCGTGACGCGATACGAAAAAAAAGCCCAGAATTGTGGCAAAATCAGTCATGGTTATTGCACCACGATAATGCGCCAGCCAACAACACCGTAATCATGCCACAGCCACCGTATTCACCGGATTTAACCCCCTGTAACTTTTTCCTATTTCCGAAACTTAAGAAATCAATGAAAGGACGGCGTTTTGCAACGATTGAGGACATAAAGACCGCATCGCTGGATGAGCTGAAGGCTATACCAAAAAGTGCTTATCAAAAGTGCTTTGAGGATTGGAAAAAGCATTGGCACAAATGTATTGTATCTGAGGGGGGTTACTTTGAGAGGGAAAAAATAAATATTGATGAATAAATAAATATTTTTGGATAAAAATAAAAAGTCACTTTACTTTTTGATCACACTACGTAAATTCAAACGCCGGTGACGTCATTATATCGCTTTAGTAATTCCACCACATGGTGAAATGATATAACACTTATGTTTACATTGTAAAAATTAAATAAATTGTAATTGCATAATACAGGTTATATATTTTTTATAATGACACATAATAATCTGAAAATAGAAAATACAAAAGTATAGCATGATTGCGATTGGATACTCGACGGATATAAATGACGTCACAACCCATCACAAGTGGTTTCTTTTTCATACAAAAGTTTAAACTATTTTTATTAATAATTACTAAAAAAATTTAATTGTTAATAAACAAAAATATATAAATACAGGTATTTTAAATGAATTATTCTTTCATTTTTATATACATTTGTGGCAAAGAAAAATTAAAACAACTTCCCTATTGTATATTGGCAATGGACCGGTCATATAACTCGAAAAACCAACAACCGATGAGAAAGAAGGGTTCTCAAGTGGCAGCCTCGTACCGGTAGAGTAGGGCGTCCCACCACTAAATAAAATGACGACCTGGTAAGATACAGGAAGTCGATGGATGCAGCCGGCTCAGGACCGTGTTTTGTGACATTCCTTGGGGTAGGCCTATGTATGTTCTGCAGTAGACTTGTGGAGGGCTATAATGATGCTGATGATGTACAGTTGTAACAATAAGCATAAGTTTTTAGTTACAGTCAGATTAGAAATTATAATCAATGAAAAATATCACTTTTTAGTTTTCTTAACTTTTTAGAAATATAAGTTATTTTTTTTAATGTCTTGACTTTTCGAATGGGATGTTGTTATGTCCAAATGTTTGAAATTTGCGAGATTATACCACGGTCACATCATTATAAGTGTGATTGGTGTGAATCAATTTCCTCGCTACATACACATACCAAATAGCGCATCAACGCCGCTTTAGTTCACGAATGTTGTGTTCAATATTTGGTGACATTATTTTCATAAGATTTTCGTAACATCGGAAGACCACGAATCGATAGCTTCAACTCGGTTGGATAGCATATCATCATATAAGTTCAGCGTATTTTAACAGTGACTTTTTCTTTAAAAAAAAAAACGTTACCCACACATTAAGATTTTCTCCTGTATCGTGGATGCAGTTTACATACATAAATTTTACTAGGATAAGCATTCAGAGCCGGAACATTATGCGGGATTCCAACTCGTGTCCTTCAGTGCCACAAGTCAGTGTGACCTAGCCGTCAATTGTCGTGAGGAGTGTGATGTGAGTGTGTTCGTGTGTGTGTCGCAGGCTGGAGCACCCGGTGAAGCGGTTCAAGGCGGAGGCACGCGGCGGCGAGTGGGACGCTGAGGGCGAGTGGGGCGAGCGGGGCGAGTGCGGCGAGCGAGGCGAGTGGCGCGAGTGGCGCTCGTGCCGCGAGTGGAGCGGCTGGAGCGAATGGGGCGAGCGGCTGGCGCTGGGCGCGCGCGCCGCCGACCTGTACGCCGGCCTGCCGCACACGCCTCCGCCCGCGCCGCAGCCCGCGCCGCCCGTTGACCTCAAGCAAGAGCGCAACGACGTTAGTACACATTGTTTTTATATTTTTTTAGATTTCCGTAAGGCAAAATTATAAATGAACCTATCGGAAAACTATGTCGTCTTTTCAGACGAATAGACTGACATATTCTTTGGCAGCTATTTTTTTAGGAATAGATAGAGGTATAATCAATTCAAATAAGAATAAGTACGTCAATAAAACATCGTTACGTGAAGAAAAAGCGTTATGCCTCATCCACCTTTCCCTCTCTGTCACTTTCTATTATATTCGGTTGTATGTGTGGGTTTTCGTGCGAGTATCGAGGTTCGAGCAGCAAACTTTGTGCACGGTTAGTTAAATGACCTCAATTCTAAACACGTGTAAATATTCAACACGATCGGCTTTACGTGCTTTCCGAGGCAAGGGAGTAACGCACCGCCAACTTGCTAACTCCAAGCTGCTACTGAAATTTCTTTATAAAAACCCAATAAGTGATTAGGCTCAACCAAGTATTTCAACCCCGGACCTCATGATCAGCAATCGCGTTTGCGGCTAAGGATTTTTTTTAGAACAACTATGAATAGTCCTTCTAAATAAAAAAATATTAACGCATATTAAAGCCATAATTTAAACACTAAACTATCATTAAATAATTTTTTGTAATTACGGACGGATTACCTCCACCTTGACCTAGTGTCATGAAAGTCTCGCAATACAAGTAAAAGAAAAATTCGTAAATCGTTAGTAAGTTTTAATATAATTTAAAATATTATTTGCGATCGTAAATTATGAAAACGGAATTATGGGAGAACATTTTCCACTGCCAAATTAAGTCTGTCCTTCAATCTGACTTACCTTTTTATTGTGAGTCATGTAATACATAACTAAGTTTATACAGAACCCTAAGGGCGCGAGTCCTGCTCGTATTTGTCCGGGTAATTTATGTTCATCGACTGAACGCCCGATAAATTAAGATAACGGGATGTGGCAGGTCTTATTGTTAGTGGAGGAATGACACCGCATAATTTGTAAACGATTTGCTATTGCGAAACCACCTTCCAAATGGGGAACGAAAGTTGGACCTTTTTCGTTGAACAGATTTTTGCGATAAGAAAATGTATATACATATACTATACTTCCTAGTGAATTTAAGATAAGTTTTTTAATTATCCAATAATACATGTAATTTGGTCATGCGGCCACAGACCACCATGTTCACTGCTAGGTAAAAGCCGCGTCCAAGCAGGTAGTTTTGGTTTGCATTTATTCAAAAGTGGACTTGTAATTTTGCAGGATGACGTAAAAGAGTACAAAAACCTTTTTACATCGGATGGACTATGCCCAACGTTAAAAGATCTAGATCAAATATTCGATAATTCGGACGATGCGGCCAGTGGAGATGAAACGGTAAGACTTGTGAGTGTACCACCCTTATATCTTTGCATGCTTTTTATATTCAAAATGTCATATAAATCTTATTTGTTAATTATTAAGAAGCTTAAAAGTCATAATATGCATGATTTGTTTATTAATTCGCCATGGACCATAACAATTATACAAATGAATAAGAAATACGTAATTTTGTAATCCAAATTAATGTGACAGTTTAAACAAAATGGTTACAATTAATGATAAAAGTGTTTAGTTAAAAAACCAGATTCACTGAACCTGTTTTACGGTATAATTTGTATAATTTCATTCGAAATTATTATAAAGTATAATTGTATATGATACTAAATTTATTAATCATAATGTTTTCTACAGCACCAATGCCATTAATGGTGTTGATTTTTCTTTTAAGGTTTCTTTTGTGCTTAAGAGTGGGTATCACATCTGCTAACGCATTAACTAATTTCTACGTGATGTAATTTAACGTCTCTAACCGCTCGTTTGCTTCTTGCAACCACAGTAGCAAAAACAGAATCCTTGACTTTGCTCTTTGCAACTGTGGTTGCAAAGCGTTGAAGTTCTTTTAATTGAATTTAGACCGTATTTTAAACGCGCAGAGTCTAACTATTGCGTATTGAAACCAAAAACAAATATATAAATCATAAATTTGGATCAAAATTACCAACCTCTTGGACGAAAAATATTGAAACTTTGTAAGTTAAACTTTATTGAGTGAAGTGACGCTTGAGTGGATTTAACGAGGTGATAAAATATGCCGTGAGTATTGAATTTTATTGATTTTTGCTAGTATTTATATACCAAATTAACGTCTTATTAGTTTTTTCTTGTATTAAAGTAATATTTTTGCAAATAGTGTATGAAAAATGTGATAAAGTCGACTTTTAAAAATACTTAGAATGACGCGAATCTAAACATAATTTTCTATAGCTTACATTATCGTAATTATATTGTATTCTTTAAATACGAAATAGTCGTAGTGGTATATGAATATAATTATTCAATTTAAGTAATAAAGTTTTATAAATTGTTCATCATATTATAAGTTTTTATGTAATAACAGCCTAGATTGTAACTAACAAATAGCAATCAATTGCGCAATCCGTGAATTCTTCATCAGGTTTCACTTAATATTTTTACTATGTATTTAAATATAAATCGTTTTATAATATAGACAAATATATCAAGTAATTCATTAAGTTTAAGGATATAATAAATAATCATACACTTATCGATCTTATTTTTTTGATAAACCCGATGTTTTACAAAAAGTCGCTAAAATGGCTTGTACTTGTGATTTCAACACCTCTAAAATATTATTGTTATCATATTTTGATAGAATAACATACGTATTTCTTTTCTTATTTCAATGGCTATTCATAGAATTTAAAATATTTGAAGTGCTCCTCTCGAGTAAGTCATAAATTAAGTTTTATTGACGGCGGGTCGAACGTAAGAAACACAGTCCCGATTACTGGCAAACTAAGCTACCTTTTTTTGTTCGCAAGCAAACAAGCGGCTAAGTAACTGTATTTTTTGTTGTTGTAATACCGTATAGTATCCTATTACTGCATACAGGCTTCATTATCGGTGAACTTTCAATACCTGGATGATACAGTTAAAAAATTGATTGAAATTTAGATCTGTAGAAAGATAAATTTATATACATCATCATTGAAATGTTTGTTTTGGAGCAGTTTTTCGGTTTCTAATGTATTTGTACATAAAACAATGCCTTAGTTCTTTAATTATTACACATTTTTTAAAATGCTTCTATTAGGATTATCCATTTCTCCTTTCTGTATCATGAATACAAAATATAAATATTATTTCAGAAATAAAACAATATTTTTTAAACTTTTGTAACAATTGTGACTTTCCCGCTATGAGATCTGTCAAATATTCCTCAGTCCAAAGTGGTGCCACCCTGGTGGCAGAAAAAGTTGTGGATGCTCTCATTATTGTACGTAATGTTGTTAGTATGGTGTTTTTGTCGGCGTGAAGTCGTCTCACACACGGTGGTGTCACGCAGATGGCGCTGGCGGCGGGCGCGGGGGCGGGTGCGGGCGCGGGCGGCGACACGGCGCGCTGCGAGGAGGCGCGCTGCGGCGGGCGCTGCGTGCGCGCCGAGGAGCTGAGCAAGATGTTTCCCACGCCGCCCAGCATGGAGGCGCACGCGCAGCCCTCGCCCGGCTTCTCGCTGCCCGACGACGCCACGCCGCAGCCGCACGTGCACCGCCACCTGCTGCCCGGCTCGCCGCCGCCCGACCCAATCGAGGTACGTACACCGCATCACACTCGCCCCGACACACCCACACCCACATGTCAGTGTGCGGGACTTCTACATTGACATATATATCCACACCAATAAATTCGATAAAGTCAAAGGTAAGCTTAGATGCAGTATTAGAGACACTAAGATAGTTGAAAAAACCTTAGATCCAATAAGATTCAGACGTAAAAATCACGATCTATAAGGGAGATATACTATTTTGATTAAAACAAAAAAAAACTAGATATAATAAATCTGAAGGGAACAAATAAATATTCGTTATATCAAGTAATTCGTTGAACTGAGGTTTGGTATGTTGATGTTAGGTTGGTCTAAAATTTGTTATAAAGAGGTAAAAAAATAGTTTTATTCACAACTTCTACTTAATACAAACCACTTTCTTCTGAAAGCTTATCTTAATATTTTGAAATTGTAGTCAATGTACTTGCGGGAATCGCGAACTTATTAGCTATGTCTAATTTTTTCGTCATAGGATTTTTGTCAACATAATGATGTTTCGCTTATCTGCTACCTATAAGGAACACCTATAATTTCTGAGCTATTTCAATCTTTAACAATAGTGACGAACAGCAGTGTTTACATTACTTTTCATCAAACAACAATGATTGTTTTACGAAAAAAGCGTGTCAAAACCTGTCGCGACATGAATCATATACTATGGGACATGGATACATTGGTGAGAACTTTATATAAAGGTTTTGGGTTGACATAATTCGTTAATTAGAGGTATTTACACTTTTTCTTGATAGTTGAAAATTCGTTATAAAGAGGTTGTTCGCAAGAAGTGTTCGCAATGTAAAGGTATATTTTACATTGACACCCAATTCATGGGGATTACGAAGAATTTGTTAAATCGAGGAAGTCGTTATATTGGGGTATGTTATATTAAGGTTGCACTCTATGTATAATATATTATACATGTATTAATTTTCTACAAATATTTAAATTTATTATCAGCTTTCTTCCATAATTTGTTATAATTCATCCGAAAATTCACAAAACATGAACTTTAAAATGAATTTACAATTTTATTCACTATAAACGTAGAGTATCTAATATATTGAACAAAATATTAATTCATAAAATTGTTCAAAACGAAATAAAATTATGAAAAATAGCTGGCTATAATAGAAAGAAAATGTGCGTGCACACTACTCTCTCTTGCTTATATCCCAACCTCGACTCCCCTTCGCCTCGCCCGATCACACTTTTCGTAACGCGTCCGCCAGCTTACTCTCCTAGTCAAGCGTGCGTAAAGAAGTTTTACTTCAAAAATATTTTTTTAAATTTAATTTAACAGTATTTCTCCTACAACATGGAGTGGTCTCGTAAAGCCGTCAATACATGTTAACCAAGCTTCGTCTACATTTTGACCAAGTTTGAACAAGTGAACATACTGAATGGCCAACTAACACGTGGACACGAATTGCTGAGTGCAGGCGAGCGCCTTTAATTTGTGCAGAAAAATCGACATTGTTCCATAGTGAGACGAGTCGTAGCGAGCGAACCCGACTGGTGGCAAAGCACGCCAAACGAACTAAATTTATTGAAATTTAAATTGTATTTAATCATTGATTTCATTTAACTATAAATTAATATACAGGTTGTTAGTGTAAACACCGTTATCCTTGAAACCAGTGGTTTGGTTTCACTTATAGAACGTAAATTCAATGAATTTAAAAAGAAAACTTTTTTTAATTCATAAAATTTAAAAAGTTTCTGTCCGACACCGTCCGTAAATTCGTGGATACCCTATGCGCCCGAGTGACGTAATCACTGTAAAGACCATCACCCGCGCTAGCTACTTACACAACATTCCAATAAAAACACAATAGGTACACATAACCTGTTGTAAAGTGTATACAGTATATAAGATGAATGAGTGCAGATGGGATGCAAGGGAAAGTTAGTGTACGAAACAAAACCAATAAAAGTCGATCTAACACTGAATTTATTGTAAAGAATTATAAATAGATGTATAGGCAAAAGTACGGAAGTTACATGATTTCACAAGTAACAAATGCATTGTTTCTGCGTGACCTAAAAAAAACCCCCCCCCACAACCCTCCCCGAGGGAAAAAAAAAAAAACACAAAACAAAAAAACCCACACCCCCCACCCCAACAAATAAACGAGTCATTGAAATAAAATTACATAAAATATGTGCGGTAACCCGTACATTCTGCCGGCCCAAAAGAGGGAAAACTATAAACACAAAGGTACTAAGAATATAAAAAATAATAATAATAATATGATAACAATTCAAAGTACAAAAATAAAATCGTAAAATAATATAAACGAATTCCTTAAATATTTCATCACTGCACTACACTTGTGATGGAATGTCCAGTCGCACGGATCGCGGTCTCGTCCTTGGCGCAGGTTCCTGGTCTCCGCTCGTGACTGCCGCCATAGGAATGGAGATTACGGGAGTGTTTGCCGTCATGTTCAGTGCTCTCTTGGTTCTGCGACATCGTATAATGATGTAAATGGATGCCGCTAGTATGATCAATCCCAGTATTGTGTACATAACTGAATATTGATGTATGTCATGTACGCTGAGTGGTGCGCTTTCTTGTTCTTTGAGGTTTGTAATCTGAGCCTTCATGCGACGCCACTCGTCTCCATGGTCTTCGGATGTAAATTGCTCGAAGCCTGAAGTAGTATTTAGGACGGAATTCAATATGGAAGTGTCTGATGGGATCGGTATGTCCTCTTGAACTTGAACTTGGCTCAAGTAGTTGTTGTGACCAAAAATAGAAAAGATGTCACTCTTGATGGTACAACCTTGACCGATTTGTAGTAAGCCATTCCCGGTCAGTGACTTCATTATCATTCCAGTGTCAATGCAAAATATGCGCACTGCGCATTTCCCACAGCAAGAGAATAGCCACCTGTTATCGCATTGTAACTTAATCCATCGCTCGCGACACGGCGCCTCCTTCGTATGACCCATTATTTTATCGTGTATGCTCAAGTTACAAATTGCTTGTTTTATTTGTAACTCATAAATCGGTTTATCTATAGAGCATAACAATCTGTTTGTCTGTGTATGGACACAATTTTGAATGTCGGATTCTGATAGCGTGAGGAGCAGGTCTTTTTGCAGATTGAATGCGATATAGGATGTTATAAATTCCACAATGTAGTTCTGCAGAAGACTTATAGCCTTATCCAGCTCAAAGGTTTCCTTGTTGACCAGAGGAATCTTAATTTCGATAATCAGATAAGAGTTGCTCAGGTCACCACTTATCTTCATCAATTTGTATAGTTCCCTAAAGTCGTGCATATCGGCAGGCAAAGTCAGGTCATTTGGTATGTGTCTGTATATAATATTGAGCTGCTCTTCCAATTGTTCTGGAGGCAATAAGTGAGCGTCCATATGACCATTTGCAAGGTCTGTTAGGGTATTAACAACACTTTCCTGCAAGTGCCGAACATTAGTGATAATAATCATGGCTGACATGGATGCTGACAGGATATGTAGCTCGTCGTTATTCATTTTCTCTATTCGGTTGGTAGTGAAGGTTATATTCTGTAGGTATTTCTGAACCAATCCAAACTGCTTGTTCATGATGGCTTCGTTTCTTTGAAGAATATTGTACTGTGCTTCTATGACACTTGTTTGGTATTCTCGCATAAAATGTTTGTAACTTTCTGCGAATGATTCATTTTTGGACATTTTATTTTCCAAATTATAGAACTGTGCGATCGCCTTTGACTTTGATTCATCTTGTTCGAATCCAGGCTTCATAGGAAGAGCAACCTCGTATCTTCCGTCAGGTAGGCGTCTGGTCGTAGATTGATAGAACTGCTCACAGTACTGTTCATCAGGTGTCAATTCAGCAGCTGAGTCACTGATTTCTTCGAGCTTCCAGTATTGAGAAATTTCTGATAGGTTGGTTATCACAACGTGACACATAAAAGTTTTCACGTTACCCGAGAGGATCCAGCCCAATCTCGTCTGTTGAGCTATTGGAGCCATGTTAGGACCTTTGATCAGGCCGCTCATGATGATCTCGGAGTATATGCTTGCGTCTAGTAGCAGATCAATAGGCCTAGAGATGTTGTACTCGGGATCAGCTAACTGTATGTGCTGCAAGTGTGGCCAGGACTCCTTACTGAACGACATGTTTGGCAGATTGTTGATGACGTGATTGATGACTAATGCTTGAGTTGTAAACTCATAGTCTTGGTAGATAGACTGGCATTCGAGCGTGACGACTCCCTTGCCGTACTTTGATCCATTTCCAATGCCAGATACAGGTGCGTGATCGAGAAGCCACGACCTTCTCATTGAAATCTGAGAGCCTTGGTCTAAAAGACATCTCAAAGTGATGTAAGTCCCGTCAGAAGCTTTGACCCTGACAGATAATGTTGTCAACAGGATCTCTTCGTCATCTGTAGCAACGTGATTCACGCTATGTTGTTTGTTTTCGGATCGCGTTGAAACTTGAGGTCTTTGCGTAACTGGAGCTGTAGGCATGTGCGATGACGACCCGGCGGGCGCGTCGGCCGCCCGGTTTACCGTCTGTTGATTAAGGTTCATATTTGACTTTTGACAGACTTTGCATCTTTTCGTCGACGTGCATATGTTATCGGTGTGTGCGTACAGACAATTGTGGCAAATATTGTGTTTCTTGACGGCCATTAGCCGCTCGTCCGGTGTAAACTTGATGAATTTGCTGCATTTGTATAGGTAGTGATTATTGTTACAAATCGGACAAATTGACGAGCATGTCGCAACAGCTTGAAATTCTCTGTTCGGGAATTTTCCATAGCGATGACCACCAGCATGTTGAAACTGAGGCTTATATGGTTTGTTGTTGATGATTTTCGGAGGATAAGATCTATTTGATGATGTTGAGATCTCTCGTTCCTTTTTACATATTGGCTCTAAGGCGTCGAATTTGCTCTCTAGGAAGTCCATTAGCTCAGAAAGCGATGGTATGTCTCGCGGCGATTTTCGTGCCTCTTTGTAGTCGC